TAGGAGCCAATATGAGCATCCAGGTTCCGCTATTGGTTATTGATCGGAGATGTGTCTCGACCATGTCTAGATAGTTCTCGAAACCGTAGGGTCCGCACGCTTAACGTTCGATGATGATTTGTATTAAGAGTTATGTGTTTTTATGACTGAAGTTTATCGAAGTCCCAGATGAGATAACGGACATGACGAGGAGTCTCGAAATGGTCGAGACATAAAGATTGATATATTGGAAGGTTATGTTCCGACACTGGAAATGTTTCGGAAGAGATAGGACATTTTTTGGAGTACCGGGAGGTTACCGGAACCCCCCAGGGGAAGTAGTGGGCCTTAATGGGCTTTAGTGGAAAGGAGAGGAGGGCCGCAGGGTGGTTGCGCCCCCCCCCCCTTGGCAGGTCCGAATTGGACTAGGAGGGGGTGGTGCCCCCCCTCTTTCCTTCTCCCTCTCATACTCCTTCCCTCTCTCCCCTCTTGGAAAAGGAAGGGGACTCCAACTAGGATTGGGAATCCTAGTCGGACTCCCCCTATAGGCGCACCCTCCTGGCCGCCGACCTCCTCCCTCCCTCCTTTGTATACGGGGGCAGGGGGCACCCCAAAGCACAACAGACAACATTGTCTTAGCCGTGTGCGGTGCCCCCTGCACCGTTTACTCCTCCGATAGTATCATCGTAGTGCTTCGGAGAAGCCCTACGCGGATCACATCATCAACACCGTCATCACGCCGTCGTGCTGACGAAACTCTCCCTCGGCCCTCTGCTGGATCAAGAGTTTGGGGGACGTCATCGAGCTGAACGTGTGCTGAACACGGAGGTGCCGTGCATTCGGTACTTGGATCGGTTGGATCGTGAAGATGTTTGACTACATCAACCGCGTTAACTAACGCTTCCGCTTTCGGTCTACAAGGGTACGTGGACACACTCTCCCCCTCTCGTTGCTATGCATCTCCTATATAGATCTTGCGTGATCGTAGGAAATTTTTTGAAATTGCATGCTACATTCCCCCAACAGCTAGGCTCGTCAAGTTTAACCCGAGTATTCCGCATGTGCAAAACTGTCTTGCACCTGTTGTATGTGAACGTAGAGCCTATCACACCCGATCATCATGTGGTGTCTCAGCACAAAAAACTGTCGCAACGGTGCATACTCAGGGAGAACACTTATACCATGAAATTTTAGTTAAGGATCATCTTATAATGCTACCGCCGTACTAAGCAAAATAAGATGCATAAAGATAAACATCACATGCAATCAAAATATGTGACATGATATGGCCATCATCATCTCGTGCTTTTGATCTCCATTTCCAAAGCATCGTCATGATCTCCATCGTCACCGGCTCGACACCTTGATCTCCATCGTTGCATCATGGTCGTCTCGCCAACTATTGCTTCTACCACTATCGCTACCGCTTAGTGATAAAGTAAAGCAATTACATGGCATTTGCATTTCATACAATAAAGAGACAACCATTAGGCTCCTGCCGGTTGCTGATAACTTTTACAAAACATGATCATCTCATACAATAACATATATCACATCACAAGCATGCCCTGCAAAAACAAGTTAGACGTCCTCTACTTTATTATTGCAAGTTTTACGTGGCTGCTACGGGCTTCTAGCAAGAACCGTTCTTACCTACAGCACAAAAACAACAACAATGAGTTATCAAGTTTGCTGTTTTAACTTTCAACAAGGACCGGCCGCAGTCAAATTCGATTCAACTAAAGTAGGAGAAACAGACACCCGCCAGCCACCCACCAGCCACCTTTATGCCGCCATCCTCCCCTCACCTCAGATGCTCCTCTCCCATCTTCGGCGCCAAAATAGACCCTACACGTCGTCAATCTAGGAATAAGAAATCATCTTCCTGTGGTCGCGGCATCGGCGTGCCTCCGACGGTGGTGGTTGGGTTGGGTGGGGATCGAGCAGAGCAGAGCAGGCAACGGGCTCTGCTTTCTGCTCTCTGTTTTTTTCCTTCCTCATAACGCACTTTTTTTTGAGAAAACACACTTTTTTTTAAATAGCGTGCTTGGTGCTCGCTGCTACGGCCCATGAATCCCAAAACCACCACCACCAGACCACCAAGGCCTGCCTACACTCATCAAAAAAATAAACAAAGCCCAAGACCCAGAGTGCTAAGCAGCCTTTTTTGCATGTGCATGCAACCACCATGGCTTTTTTTGCATGCATGCAACCACCATGGCTTAATTTGCTGAAAAATCAAATGCCATTCTTTTTCCTCCTCCTGCAGTGAAGAATGGAATGACATTCCGTTACGACGCAACTACCAATATGGCCGACATCTCGAAACATACAAGAGAAACCTCGGAGATGTGCAATGTGATTTTAGGGAGTATGCACCCGTGATGAACAGAGTGGTAATTTTTGTCGAAATGCAGACAAGCCGGCAGTAGGATGATGTTGACATGGTCATTCTCGCTAACTTATTTATGGTCCTTGCATTTGTAGGCCGCGAAGCTGAACAGAAACATTTTTGATGGCTCAAATGCGCTAAGTTTTGACCCCGGAACCCTGGAGGATGACAACAAGCTGAGGGGAGTGATGAAGATAACTTTAAGCCTCATAGCATTCTATTCGAGCAATCCCAATTTTGATCCATGCCATGTTCTTACTTACTTACAACTCTAAACTCGATCCAAGCCATCTTCTATATTTGTTTTTGTAGAAGACCATGAACCGTTGCCGCAGGCTAGCGGGCATGCTTGGGTGCGCTGCCTCGGTTGACATGCATGTTCCTCCTTCTGGTCGGTCGACACGTGCCCTAGCTTCCTCAAGCCACGCCGGCGGAGGTTCCTCGAGCCATGCCGCCTCGTCGTCTCGCCTTGTTCACGAGACCGATGAAGAAGAGGACGAGGAGGAAGAGGAAGAAGGGGGAGAAGAGGAAGGAGGTGACGGCGAAGAAGACGATGAGGGAGATGAGGAGGAGTACGACGACAATGACGGACCTCCACCGACTCAGCCAACCCAGGCGAAGAGGGTATCTCATCCGCACCAGGATATTTTGAGCCCATCACCGTTTCAGAAACTAGTTCCTCGTCGTCGCCCAAATAAGCCGGACGAGGGCCGCTCGAAAAGGAACAAGGAGTGTGTCGCCAAGAGGGGGAGGGGGAGGAACTAGTGATGTTGAACTTGCTAACTTAAAGTAGTTGTGTTATGTTGAACTACTCGGTGTCGTGTTATTGCTACCTATGTTACTAATTGAACCTATTTGATATGTTGAACTTATTGGATACATCGATTTACTATCTATAATGTGTGAGGTCATCATATTTTCATATGCAAACACTTTGTTGGTGTGTTTATCTATCAGTGTTTAATTCAAATGGTCAAGTTATTGTAAAAAAAGTTAGAGAAGAGCCTACCGCCAGACAACACGGCGGTAGGTATTCACAGCTACCGCCAGGTACCCTGGCGGTAGCCTGCGTAAACCTATCGTACGAAACTCTCCATTTTCAGTCACAGAACTCTGCCACGCCAGCCGCACCCTACCGCCGTTGGGCGTGGCAGTAGGGTGTGAAACCCTACTGCAGAAACATCCCTGCTTTCTGTCACAGAACTCTGCCGGACATGCAGGAGCCCCATACCCTACCGCCACCCCTCGCGGCGGTAGCTTTAGCCACCCTACCGCCGTCTCTTGCGACGGTAGGACAGTTACGAGACGTCAGCCCAGTATCGGCTGGTTGACGGGGGCTGTCGTCAACCTACTGCCGGTGCGCATGGTGTGAGCCTGTTTAAGCCTACCATCATGGTCCTTGGCGGTAGGAAAAAGATCATATCATGAAAACTTTTGTAACTGGGTCGGGTCCGGCTAAACGTGACCACCAAAAAGGTCAAAGGCACAAAATTTAGCCTCCGTCGCTCCACTGCCTCCGGTCCATCTATCCGCGGTAGTTCAGTGGTACCGAATGCACAGTAGCCTCGACAACTGCCACACAACACGTAGTGCGTCCCTCCACTGCAGGAAGCACTGTTCAGCTGCATGCCGCGTCCGTCAGCCCCGCCGAAGTGCGCGCCAATGGTTTCCCACGCCGAGCCGACGATCGGTGGTCACGCACGCCACCCAACGGCGCCAGTTCCGCCACGCAGATCCATCGGCCACGCACGCGCCCCTTTCCCCTAGGTTCACCTCCCCTTCGCCCCCACCGCAACGTGGCCACGCCAGCCCCCAACTACCGGCCGCCATCCCCCTCCCTCACCCCCACGCAACGCAGCGCGGCAAAAGGCTCCCCCGGCCTCCACGCCACGCGTCCCCTCCTCCCACGACCGACCAACCTCCCACCGATCGCGACCGCCCCTCACCACGTGTCCCTCCCCATCCCTCCACCCGCCTCCCCACGTCCATGGCGCCTACCCTCGCCCGCTGCCATGCGGGTCACCGAGCACCCATGGCCCCGCCGACCATGACCCCTCGCTGCATGGGCCGGTCAGAGCGGCCGGAGTAGAATAACCCCGTGATATTTCCGGGCGGCACAGGAGGCACAGCCCATGTGGAGCGGGCCCCGCGGGCATCAATAAAGAAGCTGTCGCGGCGGGCTGTCTCGCCGCGGGCCGCCACGTGTGTGCTGGGCGATAACACCGGCGTCGCCGCCGTTAGCTTCAACCTCCCCGTGGGGCCAAGATTGCGAGCACGTGTCGTGATCTGCCCGCCGGGCGCGCCCACGCGTCCAGATCAGGTGGAGACGGACGGTGAGCACGTCACGGACTCACGGCGACGGTAGCTATCGGGCGCTCCCGGCATGACGGCGACGGGCACCCTCGCTCCCCTTCTTCTACCGCCCCACCCCGCGTGTGTGAGGTTCGTTTCGGCTCGCGCCTCTGCTGCTGCTTAGCTTCTACTGCTGCCATACTAGCTGGGAACGCGCGCGAAGGCAGTGTCGTTTGTCGAGGTGTTTCGTGTAGGCCTGAGCAGTTCCGTCGCCGACGTGCGGCGGAGGGTTGAGGGAATCTAGGGGGACCGGGTTCGAGCGAGCGACTACTTGCCAATGGCCGAGATTTGCTGCCAGGAAGCCAAGTCGCCGCCGGCGACCGCCGCCACGGTGGCCACGGTCTCGGCGTCGGCGGCCGCTGCGGCCGTCGCCTCGTCGGTGATGGACAGGCGGCGCCGCAGGTTGGAGCTGAAGCGTTTCCGCCTCGCGAGCGACCTCGAGCAGTCGGCCGCGGAGTACGCCGGCGCCCGCAAGCGGCCGAGGATACCGCGCACGGTGTCTGGCCCGTGCCCCGACGCTGCCTCGGCGTCCGAGAACACGGAGCGTTGCCCAAGGTTCGGGTTCTCCTCTGTATGCGGTCGTCGTCGCGAGATGGAGGACGCCGTCTCCATCAGGCCGGGTTTCCTGCCTGGCTCCGGCAAGTCCCACTTCTTCGGCGTCTTCGATGGCCACGGCTGCTCACACGTACGTCGAACTCTCCTTTCATATGAGCGCAATTCGTGTTGTTTCTGCACAAGAGAATGGTGCTGATGACATGGTTTCGTGTCATCAGGTGGCGACGACGTGCCAGGAGCTGATGCATGAGGCGGTGGCGGAGGAGCACGAGAAGGCGGGGCCCGGCGAGGAGCCTACGTGGAAGGAGGTGATGGAGAGGAGCTTCGCGCGGCTGGACGAGCGGGCCGCGAACTGGGCGACCACCCGCAGCAGCGAGGAGCCCGCCTGCCGCTGCGAGCAGAAGATGCCCTCGCGGTGCGACCACGTGGGATCCACCGCCGTCGTGGCCGTCGTCAGCCCGACCCAGCTCGTCGTGGCCAACGCCGGCGACTCCCGTGCCGTCCTTTCCCGCGCTGGCGTGCCTGTTGCACTCTCCGTCGACCACAAGGTATGTATACCCTCGCGTCACCGCGCATGGCACGCTCTGTTTCGACGCGAATTGTCCATGACCTTACGTGGTTTACTTTCCTCAGCCTGACCGGCCGGACGAGCTGGAGCGCATCCAGGCGGCGGGCGGGCGCGTCATCTACTGGGACGGTGCCCGGGTGCTCGGCGTCCTCGCCATGTCCCGAGCCATAGGTGAGTTTTCTAGTTCAAATTTCGCTCTCGTCAGGAGCTTTGCTCTGCCTCCGGGGTCCCGATCCGAGCCTAACTTGACTTGTACGCGCGCAGGGGATGGCTACCTGAAGCCGTTCGTGACGGCTGAGCCGGAGGTGACCGTGACGGAGCGCAGCGACGCCGACGAGTGCCTGATCCTGGCCAGCGACGGGCTGTGGGACGTGGTGACCAACGAGATGGCGTGCGACGTCGCCAGGGCGTGCTTCCGGAGCAACGGCCCTCCAGAGCCGGCCACGGCTCAGGCGCAGCCGAGCGGTGAGGCCAAGGCGAGCGAGGGGGTGAGCAAGGCGGAGTCCGACCGGGCGTGCTCCGACGCGGCCATGCTGCTGGCGAAGCTGGCGCTGGCGCGGGGGAGCTCCGACAACGTCAGCGTCGTGGTCGTGGATCTACGCCGGGGATCGTGATTCTTGGAGCAGAATTCGTGCTCCATGATTGCTTCTCGTTATCCTATTTTTTTAATCCATGCTAATTTCTTTCTCTCCTCGTTTCTGAATTTATCTTTGCTGCCTCGATGTGGTAGTATAGATCTAGTAGTATAGTTTCTAATTCTGCGCGCCAAAAAGAAGTTGAACAGATAAGCTCAGCTGCTTCAACTGCATCGTGCTACATACACGAAGATATTCGAGATGTTGTTAACAAGTCGATACGCAGATCTTTATTTAGCCCTAAGCTATTCATATCCATCGTACGTACACGAGATAAGCGCGAATTAGGTGGATCGTGACGACGGAAGCTGGCCGCCACTCGCGTCTTACTCCTGACAACTCTTTGATATATTCGTGGGTGGGTGATCGCCTCGTACCGTCGTAGGATCGGAGCAGAGAAAAGTCGAAGAACAGATGCTGATCTAGTGTCTATCTATGCACTGTGCGTGGGGCTAAGCTGTACTGAACCCGAATGAAAACGTGCCCCCCTTTTACTGCACGATTTTTCTTCAGTGGGACAACAAAAGGACGCTGATGGAACGGGATGAATGATGCTGGGGGGCTACGTGTCGAGGCCTGTCGCTGGCGTCCTCCCGATGCGTTTCTGTTGGGGGGTGTCGTGGGGAGAAAGAGAAAAGTCTCCACTGACCCCGGGGCGTACACGTCCCGAGTTAGGCGCCGGGGCATTATTGAGCCAGCCCTCCGCGGCACACCCACCGCCACCGGTCCCGTGGCCGCACTGCACGCGTCGACGCGCACTGCTGCGCCGCACGACGCGACCCGGCTGGAAAAGGGGAGGGAGGAAGGAGGGAGATTGTAACGTGCCGTGCCGTCGGTGACTGTTTGCTGACTCGATCTGCACTTGTTTATTGTTGATGAAGATCCCTTCGCGTAACTCCACGGATGGATGCCATCGGCCTTGGCGTGGTTGCACAGCGTGTAGCTCTAGCGCGGCGCACGGTCGGGGAGGGAGGAGAGAAGGCTCCTGGAAGTGGCGGGCACGGTATCTGGGCGTAGGGTTGACACCAAAGGGTGCGCGTCGCCGTCCCGGAATCTATCAATGGGAGATGCCGCACGATCCACCGGCGGTACGGCGGCGGAGAAAGGAAGGGCCGCGACGCCGATGCGACGGGAGGGGAGCGAAGGGCGCTCGGATCGCAAAAGCGGATTCGGAGGCGGAAAGAGAAAAAGGTGCTTGGGACACGGCGACATCGGAGGACGTACGGCCGGTGGAGCTTCATCGGCGACGCATGGTTTTGTTGCTCGGCGACTCGGGAGACTGGCTATCTCGCCACCGGATTTGATTGGTCGATCTTGCCTCCACATGCGCTGTCTACCGAGGAAAGATGGTGCACAGGAGTTCAATCTGGTCCACATCGTGGTTTGCTTCGGCGAGAATCTTGCGCTTTTTTGCGGGTGCTTGTGATTTTTCCTGTGCTTTCTTTGCGTTTGGGCCCATTCGGGGTAATACCAATGGACCCGCGAGTGGCTGCTTTCTGCTGCGGGTGACTCCCCCAAATGGCCAAATCCTATTCAGCGCCGTCGGCGTCATTTATACTTGTTCCCGCAAACTGGCCCACACCCACTTCCACCTTGGGGTCGGCCCATTTAGCCTTTTTTTCTTTCTCGTCCGCAAATAGCGCACGCGCTAGGTTTCCGGGTCAACCGATCCACTTTGTGTTTTTTCTGACCAGTTTTTGGGCGGTTTTTTCCAGGATGAGTTTTGTATGGTATTTCTTTCTCCATTCCTGTTTTTGTTTTATCAAATTCGTGAAACATTTCACAAATTGTGAACCTTATTTTTTGAAATGTTGTGAAAATTTTCAAACCATTTGAACCTTTTTTTTAATTCATGGTTTTTATTTTCTTTTTGAGAACCTTTTCAGATTACGATTTTCCAAGTCTTGAACTTTTCTTCTAACTCATAAACTTTTCTCAAATTTACGAACTTTTTCCAAAATTTCCTTTTTTTCATATCTGTGGAAATTCTATCAATTTACTGAACCTTCTTTATTTTGTAAACTTTTCTCTTTTCCTGAAAAAGTGAACGGTCAACTCTCTGTGATCAGCAGTCAATAATTGACAAACGTTCAACGGTCGCTGGCCCATCAGTCAACCGATTTAACAAAAATGCAACTGGGCCAGCCATAAGCTTCTGCGCATGGCGCGCTGTATAGGAGCTCTTGCCTCTTGGTGACTCCTTCCCGTGTGAGAAAGTCCTATTTAATGCGATGGGAAGGATATCACTCAAATCACATAAGCGACGCACAAATTCTAGTTTTAACCTCGGCTTTCAGGTTTTTTATGTTCTCATTTCCTTCTGGTTTTAATTTAAAAATGTTTATTGTGAATTGTCGGGTTTCTTTGGTTATATATGTTTCTTCTTTGTATTCTTTTAATATATGGATATTTTTAATTAGCAAATGATTAACATTCAACGCTTATTTAAAAAAACTGTGAATCACTTCGAAATTGAAGAGTGATTTTCCAAAAAACCATGAACACCTTAAAAATACCTTTGATATATACATTTTGAAACCAACAAATGATACCCCGCACGGTGCTACGGGAATTAGTTGATGAAAATTTTGGTTGATAACTGAAAACCAAACGTAAAACTACATATGACTTATTATATTTAATTATGTATAGTTGAATATTTATTGAATATAGGTAGAATAATTTAATGGAAAATATTTTCTCATGCATGGTTAAATGTTGCGGTGAGGTCTTTTCCCATGCATGATTGTATGCTGAGGCGGATTTATCCCATTCATAATTGTATGGTGAGGTGAGATGTTTGCCTATTGAGATAAATAAGTTAGTGGAGATGATTCTCTTAGGTATATATGATACATTGATTTTTCATCTATGTGTATTTTTCAAATATACTATTTTTGGATTTGAAATAAAATTGGTTTTATTAAATAAGAAAATAGTTACGGAATGATAAAGTGGTGATAGTGAGGTGACCCGTAAGTGGCATCTCTTGTGCGATTTGCCTCGCCAAATGGAGAAATGAAGCACTCACTCCTTTGAGCCTTAGCACAACTACATTACCAACTGCCACGGAGCGCTTATCACCCTAGGCGGCGGCAACAATGTAGCCATCACGATGCGAGGTGCCTTGGTTGTTGTGGCGACGGTGGACGGCGTGATGTCATGGTGGAGCATGTCATGGTGGAGCAACACGGGAGGTGGATGGTCGGGTGTGTGGTGGTGTTGAAGTTAGGTGGTTTGATTGGTCTCGATTTTGAGGCATGGGCCATAATTTTGTGACACGTGGTCAGGTGAAGACATTTCTTCCCCTTGGTGGCTGGGGCAGGCAACGACGATGTCTGCATGTGTTGGAAATATGCTCTACAGGAAATAACAAAGTTGTTACTATTCTATTTTTATGTACATGGTTAAGTTTGTATTCTATTCTATAATTGCAATAGTTCTTAAATATGATACTCAAAGGAACTAATTACATGTGTAGAATTATAAACACCATACATATCCCTAAGGCCTCCAGACTAGCTCATGTATTGTTTATGGTCTTGTTTTCCTGACCATGGGCATTGCTAATGTAACAATGGTGCCAACAATAATGAGAGCATGTGGTTAAGGTAACAATGATGTTGGGTAGACCCACTTATGAACTATTGTGAGATCATGTCGCCGGTATTTTCTCGTAATGTGTTAACCTTTACGTCTTTGCACCATGAGAATATGGTAGACCCAGATACTGGATGGTTGATTCAGGTTTATCAAGAGTTACTCCGTAGTTGGGTAATTGTAAAGGCGAACTTTTGATAAGTCAAAAAGTATGGCGTGATGCTGGATATGTCAAGACTAAACTTTGCCCGTCCGACGATGGAGAGATACACTCTTAATCCACTTGGCATTACAGTGTCCAACATTGTCGTGCCAAGTATAGTAACAAATTAGTCTCAGGGATACCGAAATACGTAAAAAAGAGTTTGAACCAGTAACGAGGATAACTTGGCATAGTGATCAATGAGTTATTCTTGTTATTGAATTTCTGGAACTGGAGTTTTTCTTGTGTACCAAGGTGGCACTAGAATTTTCCTCATGGAAACAAGCACGTGCGCCTTTCTCCCTCGCCTTATCTTCCGCATCAAGAGTGCCAATAATATTGGCAATAAAAAGTTCTAGTCTCTTGTGCTTAAGGGAAGTATGAAAATTCCCCCACGCGGGAGAAAGTTTAGCAATGATGCATTCGACAATAAACTTATCTTGTAACACACAATTGAAACGCTCAAGTTTGTTTGCATGTTATTGTATCTCACGAGCATTCTCAACTATGAAGTGGTCATCAGTCATCTTATAGCCATGATATTGTTCCATGAGGTACAACTCACCGTGTGTGTTCGAGATCCCAAACTTTCCTGCGGTGCATCCCACATATCATTACCAACCTCAATGGTCATGAGAGGATCGACGATCTTGTCGTCAAGAACACTCAGAATAGCTCCTTTGAGGATGTGTCTGTAGCCTGGAAATCTTTCTCTTGTTTGAGAGTAAGAGTTCCCTCTGGACTGCCTTTAGAGGCGCACAAACAAATCATGGTGGTTAGACAAAGTACTACCCAGCACACACCATCTCTTATAATTCACACTCTCAAACGGAGGCGGTTTGAGGGTTGCATCGAAAGCAATTAAAGAAAATTGCCTACATGTATCATGTTTTTGGATTGTTGAATTGTTGAGCAATTTTTCATTAAGTTTAATCCAGAAGAACACAAGGTAAATATGATAAACATGATAATCGAAACAAGTAACATAGTGATGTTACTAACCATGCAATCAGATACATAAAGGACATACATCATATCCGTACTGATTGCTAGTATGATACATCGAGAAAAAAATCCTAACATAAGGGAAAACAGAACATTTTTCCATACGAGCCTAAAATAGGATCGAGTTTCGGCATAAGTGAGACAATAGAAATTAATAGAGAAAAAGCATCCA